CCGTGTGCAAAATTGTGTTTTAAGGCCAATTATTACTTATGTTTTATTGACTGATTATTTTACCATTTTTATGATGTTGTTGCTTATGTTTTATTGACTGATTATCTTTTGCTGTTTTACGATGTTGTTTCTTATGCTTTATGTTCGTTTTAGGGATGAACCGGTCCAATACTGATATATTGGCCCGATACTGACTCATATAGCTGGATTGGGCATCAGTGACAAGGATGCTGACCTGTTCAATTCAATAACGTACATACTTTGCAATGCGTCAGCAGTGTGCCGGTAGACCCGAACATTTTGCTAGGAAAGCTAACATAAGCCTAGCATTTTGTTTTATAAAGTTAGGAAGCAATGTTTAAATCAAGCTTGATGTTGCCTTACACATAAAAAATTGATTTCAAGTTTCTTCCCCACAATGTATCGGATAGACACCCAAAGCCCAGATATTGGTATCGGGACTGAAAATTTTGGATCGGTGCATCCCTAGTTCCTTTACTTTTCAGATGGTCTCATTTCTAATATGTCATTCTTGTAAAGCGCTTTGTGACCTTGATGTGTGAAAGGTGCTATATTAAATAAATTTGACAAAAAGTACTCCCTCGTCATTATCATGGGATGTTCAATCTTAAATATTTCAAAAAAAAAAAAAAAAAGTATTTGCCAGCTGTTTTCTTTTCAACTTTTCCTATGATGCCCAGTATCCTTGTTTCATTCGGCTGAAAAAAGAAGCTCTTGAAATCCAGTTAAGACTTTTAACACTATCACTTCCACTAACGTAACGTAATGTGCCCTGATAAGCGGACTCAACCTCAATGGAGTACAGAAAAATAAAGCGACGTTACCCTGGATGAAACTCGCAATGCACGAGTTATAGTAGTCTTTTTATATCCAGAAAAGAGAAGTAACTTACTAAGCTTGACCTACTTTGATCTGGGATAAATGGTGAGGCACACGGCAGTTTCTACATTGCTGATGACAAAAAAAGTCTTTACATGACATTATCTCTTATAGCAAGACACACAATGTCACTGCCTTTCCCCACCAAGCAGGGTTTAGAATTTAGCCCTGAATATCAAAAGAGTGGTTTGTCTTTGGCAGCAGGATTTGCAGAAGCATGAGAAATCAACAAAAGGCAGCTGAATGCCAGCTCAATTTGGTTTCTGTTGACATTTTGGGGTCAACAGCCGCTATTTAGTAAGTGAGTTTCTGATAACTACAATTAGCCTAGATAACTCATTAGAATCATTTACAGCTGAGAGATCCATTTTAACATAACTTTGACTCAGCTAACTCTCCAGTCATGTTTTTCAATTGTTTTTAGTTACGTCACCCACCTCTCACCCCAAATTATGGGGGAACTGGATCCAAGCTAATGCTACATACAAGCTTTGAGCAAAACATGTGAAATAACAAATCCCTCTTTGCAAACTTGGCTAAGCTGCCCACTAGCACTAAAGATAAAACAATATAGCCCACAGTCTCTCTACAGTTCCTAAGCAAGCCTAATTTACAGTCTTACAAAAGTGAGTACACCCCTCACATTTTTGTAAATATTTGATTATATCTTTTAATGTGACAACACTGAAGAAATGACACTTCGCTACAATGTAAAGTAATGAGTGTATAGCTTGTATAATAGTGTAAATTTGCTGTCCCCTCAAAATAACACATCACACAGCCATTAATGTCTAAACCGCAGGCAACAAAAGTGAGTACACCCCTAAGTGAAAATGTTTTGTATGGCCACCATTATTTTCCAGCACTGCCTTAACTCTCTTGGGCATTGAGGTCACCAGAGCTTCACAGGTTGCCACTGGAGTCCTCTTCCACTCCTCTATGACAACATCATGGAGCTGGTGGATGAGATCTTGCGCTCCTCCACCTACCATTTGAGGATGCCCCACAGATACTCAATAGGGTTTAGGTCTGGAGACATGCTTGGCAAGTCCATCGACCTATACCCCCAGCTTCTTTACCAAGGCAGTGGTCGTCCTGGAGGAGCGTTTGGGGTTGTTATCATGTTGCATTACTGCCCTGTAGCCCAGTCTCCAAAGGGGAGGAGATCATGCTCTGCTTAGTATGTCAAAGCACATGTTGGCATTCATGGTTCGCTCAATGAACTGTAGCTCCCCAGTGCCGACAGCACTCATGCAGCCCCAGACCATGACACTCCCACCACCATGCTTGACTGTAGGCAGGACACACTTGTCTTTGTACTCCTCATCTGGTTTATCTCATCAGACCACAGAACATGGTTCCAGTAATCCATGTCCTTAGTCTACTTGTCTTCAACTGTTTGCAGACTTTCCCAAAGACAACCTCTGGATATGACACTGAGTACGTGCACTAAACTTCTTTGGTCGACCATGGCCAGTCCTATTCTTTTGTTCCCAGCAGTTTAGACATTAATGGCTGTGTAATGTGTTATTTTGAGGGGACAGCAAATTTACACTGTTATACAAGCTTACACTTATGGCAAAGTATAATTTCTTCAGTGTTGTCACATGAAAAGATATAATCAAATATTTACAAATACGTGAGGGGTGTCCTCACTTTTGTGAGATACTGTATGTCAAAGCTAACTGAAATGCTGGCTAAAGCCCTAAACTTCCCTGGTCCCTAGTAATCACAGCAGCTAAGAAGACAAAGAACAAGCAGTTAGATTTGAGCCTTATAAAAAAAAAAACAACAACAGATGCCCGCCTAGCTCCAGATGCCATACTGTGCCTCTTATCACAACAAAAGTCACATGACCTGACCTTCATCTGGACAGGAGGGGAGGGGATGAGAGGACTTATCAAGGGTCCAAGCCATGTACAACATTAATAACAACACAGACACGTTCCTATAGACATAGAAGTACAACACAGGGCCATCTGGAACAGAGGAGAATCCCCAGCTTCATTAAAAGATCAATGGGATGGGGGGTAGTGTAGTGTTAATCACAAACTAAAAAAAACTATTTCATTGGCAGCCACATGCACAGCCATTATCGACTCTTTATCAACCACAAAAACAGTTATTACAACTACAACTAAAGATTATTTTCTCAGTTGTCAGAAGGTAGTGAAAATGTGTATCACAATATCTAAGAATTAAAAGTGATGTCAGATTAATTATTTTGTCTAACAATCTGAAACCTAAATATATAAATTTCCCAATTATATTAAACAGAGATATTGAACAATTAATACATTTTCAAAGTAGTTTTGTCATTGACTACTTGATAAAACCCACTTAGTTTATAGAATTTTTTCACTGAATATAACTTGTATTGTGACACAGTAATGTTGATATATCCGAGTATCCATGACTTGGGTTAGTGTCCATTTGATCACCAGCAAAAATAGTTGCTGGTGCATTTCAAGAATATCATCAAGTCTGTCATCACATGATAAAACAACACCACTGTATCAGTGGTCGGGAAATATTTCAAAAGCATCAAACTAACAATTACTGGAAAAGAAATACATTAGGGGAACCTACAGGCCAACATTGGGTATGTCTTGTAAAGGACTGATTGATGCAACTTTAGATTCTTAAAAAGCTCTAATAGCAACGAAAAAAACACCACTGTCACAATCCACAGTAACACTAACTTACTTTGAGTGTAACGTTACGTATTAAACATTAACGTAGTCAAAACATTAGCTAGAACTACTGGTTATTTACGCTACATTATATACATTTATTGGGTTAACTCAGAAAAACAAATTACCGTGGACTCTACGTGTTATAACGTTGCTCTCATGTGCAATAGACAAATATTGTTTCGCTTTTCTAGTGCAGTAACAGCTAGATTACACTCATAACGGAGAGAAATTGTAAACATTAAAATGAGTGATCGACAATTTCTCAGTCTCAAATCCATACATGAAACGAGTGTTCAGCGTCGTAAAAGCTAACTTAGCTCTGAGTGTCAAAGCAGAACAGCTTGGCTAACATTAGCAGCCGCTTCATCTGTCAAAGATACAGATGTTGTTGGGCAGGAGTCAAGGATGCTAGTGCGGGTGAGTAACGTCCATAGTACGCCTGATGAAAACAAAATACCAGTACTACATAGGAAAAAAAACTAAACCTTACCTGAACGTGTTGCTTAACACTGCAAGTCAGAAATCTTCCTTATCTCTCTTCTCGCTGTGGTGTAAGTAACGTTAGCGTCCGTCCTACGACGGCTAGCTAGCGTTTTGAGAAAGGGGAAGAATGTAGCGGACTGACATTGTAGCAGACATTGGGATGGACCAATCCAGCTGAGCACGCAGGTCCCGTGCTTCACATGGAGGAAGTGTTGATAGACGAGCAATGTGGTAATTTAACGTTAATGCTTCGAGCGTTCCCAAAAACGCCCATCCGCGGAGGTGTTGTAGGCTGCCTTTTGTTCCTCTTTTCGTTTTACTCATGACCTCAACATAAAACACTTATTGGTTCTGGGTGATTTCTGCTTCAAGCACGTTGTGGCCGTCTGGCTCCCCCTTGTGATTTATTAGGGAGTTGCCCACGGGGACGGGTTGGGTTATGTTTAAGGGGTGGGGGGGGATTATATATACACATAGTATATATACACACATACACACACACCATTTCAAAACATGTTTAAAATATATACATGACTCCACAGTAGACGGATATCCAATATCTTCAACCAAGTCCAGTTGCCCTTGACTTTAACCTTCATTGGATATCCTATAAAGCAGGTACTTAAGACCCTTCATGCTGGGATTTATGTTCTATAAGCACTGAAGCCTATTTGTTCAGAATGTGGTGACTTAATATTCCTCTGGTTGCCACACAAACTGTACGGTTTACCATCTCTATAGTAAACTTGAGCAAAGATCACACCAAATACTTTAACATTTCATGTGTTAGCAGGCAAGAAAAATCAATCCATGACGCAAAAATCTGACTGGGGCAGATGCTAAAAACTTAGGTGAACATTTTAACTTAAGAGTGGTCATGCGGAAAAGTAGTAATGTGACAAGTCATTCAGACAAGAATCATAAAAGTGAAATATGTTTATTTTCATAAAAAATGAAATTAAAGCAACATGCTGCAAAACACAGGATGGCAAACTGCCCAAGATATTCAAACCGGATAAGACCCCCCCCCCCCAAAAAGGACACTATACAATGCAACAATCTTCACACCGCTGGAGCAGTTATCGCCTCTTCTGGAAGATGTTGCCTCTTCCCATTCCACCACGACCCCGACCCCTCGCTGCCACTGCAGACAAAAGACAGCAGTTTAGAAATAAAATTAACAATCTGATTTAAATAGTAGACAAGTTGTCTCATCTTAAAATAGAATTCAATATATAATTTGAAGTTCAAAAGTAGAATCGAATCAATACCCCTGACACAGGCCCCACAGCCGGGACTTGGATGCATTTAACACAGGTATTTTAGTCTATTGAATTGATCTTTATATACAAATGTTATTGTATCCATACTGTTTATACAAGTTAGGGCATAACCCCTTAATACAACGATGAAGCGCTTTAGTGGAAACCTGTTAAAATCTATCGGTTCCGTTCTCAGGTTGGCAACTCCTTCACAATGTCAAAACGCAAATACAACTCACTTGGATGAAAGTACACCAGTCCAATGAAAGTGCTTAGAGTAACATTTAGAATTTAGCAGCATGTGAAAAAGCATTTCTCCCCTTACAAGTTATACTTTTGCTGTACAAAAAATAAGTGATTAAATGTATAAACTGCTGAAATTAAACAGCTGCAGCAGATGTGATGAGGTTGATGAAAACCCAGTGATTTTCTGGGAGATACTGGTCCAAAAGCTTCCCACTCACCTTGTGCTTTGAGAATAGCTGCCTTTCCCCTTCCTGCACCAGATCCCTGGTTCTTGTTTTTCATACTCTTTAACATAGGAGCATTCTTTAACATGTCCGGTAAGATCAGGAAGCGGATCTTGCTGCCTCTGATGTAGACTTGCTCCAACTGTGCTACCCGGCCATCACGATAAGTCACTGTTATATTGGACATCTGTAGTGTACAGGGGGAAAAAAGTATATGGTTGAAAGAAAAATCGCAGAAGTGTTACAGTAAATCTAACAAAATTCTGAACCACTGATTGAGGTCTGTTCAATCAGTGGTTCACAATCATCTTTCAACACTACAGCTTTGCTGTTTTCACTTCTTAACATCTAATGGCGGGACTGATTCACAACTTTGAATCTAGTTTATTCAAGTATCTAACAAGATTGGGAGCCATGGCTTTAGTACTTAAGGACCAGCCAACTAATGCGTTCAATAAGAGACCAACAGATGGGGGAGATTGCAAACCTTGGATAAAGTAGGAGTCAAACTGATGAAACGTATAAACGAGCAGATGAGGAACACAGAAAAAGAAAACACTTAAAAATCCATAAACACAGTGTACCAAAACTTCAATATAAAAATATACGCCTAACACACAATAAAGCTAAGGGTCAATTTTTTTATTATTTGCTCCACATTAGCTGTTAACAGTAGAGCAGCCACTCTTCCTGGGTTCCACATCGGGGTACAACCAGGGAAAAATCAAATGTAGATTGGAGGAAACACTTTCAACACAGCCTCTGGTTCAGGAAAGCTACACAAGAGGGCACTATGCAATTCTCCTGAAATCTCACTCACAAAGGGTTTCCTTTCTGTATTGTTACACATTATATTTAATGGGAATTTACTGAAATGCCACATATGATAAGATTGTTCAAAAAAAAAAAAAAAGAGCACTCGCACACAAATTAAGTTATATATTCAAGTAATTGAGCACACCGATCATGAATTAAAGATTTAATAAAAAAATATCAGTTAATTAAAAATCCAAATAAGTGTGGAGAAATCAGGTATTAAGAAGGTGCTTCATTTAAGATTGTTATTCATCCTTTATTATTAAGGACCTACCTGGCAGTTCATATTGTCCTCAGCCTCAATCAGCTTTCCCCTGTACACCTCTCCAGTGTTTGTCTCACAGGTCACAATGTGTCCCTCTGCCTCATGCAGAACCTTGATTGGTACACCAATGGACATGTTTGTTCTGTCTTCCTGAAAAACAACATGTATTGTAGGAAATGTTTAAAATGTGCCGTCTCCATTTTATAAGGTCCATCAAACAGATTTCTACAATTTACCTTATTTGAAGTATTTTACCAATGTTCTTCGGTTGCTGGGCTAAAATCATGAGTTTGTTTTTGATACTATATCTGATTATTTTAGTTATATCGTCAGTGTCAAACTGCAGAGAAACTGCAAATTGGGTCGGTCAAAACATTGAGTTATGTGAAGCCATTCATGCTAACCAAACACTGCTTTGGAAATACTGTAACCAATCAGTCTAAAACGTAGCTACTGCTTTTTAAAATTTTACAAGCGTATCAATCAAGGGCCTTTGGTAAGATGTGGTGTGGGAATAACTTAAATTCAAGCTTCATAAATACCACAAATATCTTTGCTAAAAAAAATTAAACTTAGCCGTTAGCTAAATTAGCTACTGTGGCTAACTAGCTAACGATAGTCCTCGATGAATTTACAATAATGCAACGGTAACTTACCTAAAAATAGTTAAGGCCTCTATACATTATCTTGAAGTACTTATTGGTACAAACCACAGCTGGTATAATTTTCTCAATTCACATTAACATTTGTCTCTTATGGAGCAGAAACTCTCGAGTTTGTCAAATACACGGAACCATGTCGGCCAAATGAATGAATAAGCTCTTTTAAAAAAACACAGACAAACACCACTATTGTGGTAAACTATGTGATAATATATTTGTCCCTTTCTGTTAATACGGTTACCTTAATTCTGTCTTGAATACGGATTTCTTTGTTGTTTCTTCTTCAACGACTCTGCAACGTGCGCTTGGATCTCCGCCGTACCTTTTAGAGCCTTTTTCCGCCTACCCACAATGCAACAACGGATCAACGAAGTACTTCCTGTGGCGCCGTGCGGTGCATTGTGGGACTTGTGATTTTTAAGCTAATCTATCCTCTTAACCCTTTGATGCGCATGGCATGCAAACCCCTTCAAATGCATAACGTGGGTCAAAAATGACCCATGAATTTACAACCCAAAACTCTCGTTTTTATCTAGATTTTACATAAACAAAGTTATCAGAATAAAGCAGAAGGTCTCTCAAGAGCAGCATATTTATTTACATCAATAGAATTACCTAAGTTACAATGTGCCAATCTAGACAAACTATTATATAACTTTATATGGAGGAAGAAGCCCCATAAAATCAGGAAAAACATCTTCTTGACTAATAAAACTGAGGAGGGGGATTTTGTGATAATTGACTTCTCAATTTTCAATGAGATATTAAAAATCAACTGGATTAAAAGATTTTTGAAAAATCCAAAAGGTTTTTGGAACATTGTTCCAAACTTTATCTTTGAAAAACTTGGTAAAATCACGTTCTTGCTTCAGTGCCGATACTCCATCAACGGTCTGCCAGTCAAACTGTTTAACTTCCATAAACAGGCTCTAACTTGTTGGTCACTTTTGTACAAACACAATTTCTCCCCTCACAAATGTTTTATCTGGAACAACATGAACATCATACATAGAAACAAGACTCTCTTTATACAAAACTGGTTTAAAGATGTCAGTCAACTGATATCCCAATTATTAAATAACTTAAATCAAATTTTAACTTATGACAACTTCACTCATAAATTTAACTTCCATCCTCCGAGATAAGAATTTGATATTGTAACCAGAGCTATACCCCATGGGATCATCACCCTACTTAGAGATGAGAAAGATTTAGATCAAATTTATGTATTTTTCTCCAGCTTTTCTAGACAGAAAGGTCAACAACAAAGTAATTAAAAACCTTTTATGTGCAAAATCTATCCCTGCCTCCAGGTACAAATGGACCCCCTTGTATGAAAATATTAATTGGAATAGAGCATGGAGTAACCCACATACATTTTAGATTACAAAAATAGTAAAAGAAATATATCACCACTATTACCCCTGTAACAAGATTAGGGAAAATTTATCCCTACTGTAGACGAAAAATGCAGCTTCTGTTCTTTGGAAACAGAAACATTAGACCATTTATTCTATAGCTGTTCACATAGCTCTTCTTTGTGGAATGATATACAATGTTTTATTAATGGACACTTTGGCTCAAACATACACTTATCTAATTTTGACATCTTCTTTTATTTTTCTGATTCAAACTCTATACAATATATAATCAATTTATTAATTTTGCTTGGAATTTTTCTTATTCATAAATCAAACTTTATGAAGAACAAACCTCTTTTCAATGTTTTTAAACTTGACTTAAAAAATTATATAGTCTGTATATCTGGATTACAGGGTAAATTAGCATCAAAATGTTTGCAACATTTATCTAATTTAACTTTATATTTAAGTTAACTAATATTTATTGTTTGATACTCTGGCTGTATACTTTTTTGTTGTTTATATTTCTTTTTTTTACAGTTTTTTTATTCTTTATGAAAACGTGAAATGTAACTAAATGATTTTTGTATTCAATTTCTTTTTTCAGCAAATTTTAACAAATGATCTGCAATAAAAAAAAAAGTGAATATTTTTGAAAACCCCTGCCAGGGTGAGGATTTTCAGAAATTACAATTTTATTAGGCTCTGATTGGCCAACGTTTCTTTACGGTTAGGGCCATATCGCCGCCAGGTGGTTTGGCATGCGCTTGACAGCGCTTGATAATTTGTGTTTGCGTTTTCATGTGGACGGATATTGTTTTTAAACGAAGGAGGAAAACTTCGGTTATAAAAATACCAGTGTCCGTGTGGACTAGGCCTGATACTGCGGCATAGATGGTAAGTGCTACAGACGCAAAACTCACAGGGTAGGTTCAGACCCATGTGACGACGGCAGGCAAGAAACTTCGCTGACTTCTACCTTTAGGAGGCGCAATAAGCAAACTTAAAAACCTATTTTAATTAATTCCTCCGAAGCCGCAAGTCCAATCAACACCAAACTTGGCACGGATAATCTCTGGACAAAGCTGCTAAAAGTTTATAGAGGAAATTTTGATCCAACAAAAAATGTCGCAATTATAAGCTTACAAATATTAGCAAAAAACAATAAAAACAAGAAGTGATGTCATATCTTAGGTCTGGAATGTCCGATCGACATAAATTTGGAGCAATAATGAGGTGCCCTGAACGCCTGTGCAAAATGTGAGCCCCTAGGTGGCGCTATTTAACCCGAAAAAATTGTTCCCCTATAACCACAAGTCACATTGAAATGAAACTTGAGCCGAATTGTTCAGCATGGTCTCCTTACTACAGGCACCAAAGTTGACCCAAATTTGCCCATAGGTGATGCTGTTATTGCACATTAAAGATGTGAAAAAAAATTCCATTGACTTAGATGCATTTTATATCTCCATAACCACAAGTTCGATTGACACCAAATTTAGGTAATTTTTTCCCCATGGGGTTCTGATGACACCTGAAAAATTTGGTGCAATTCGGCTTATAGGTGGCGCTATAATCAAAGCTCAAATACCGTGGGAAAATCCCATTCCTTTCAATGAGATTTTGGGCCATTTTGCCCCATAACTACGCGCTACTACATCACACATTCATAAACCTTATTTCTACGTGTTTGTGGGGATACTGCAATTTGTATGGTATGGGACACGCCTCTGTGCGATGACATTTTCATTTAGCTAAATTGTGAAAAACTAAAAAATAAATTTTTTAACTCCTCCCAGGCAAGTCCGATCGACACCAAACTTGGCATGGACAATCGCCGGACCAAGCTGATAAAAGATGTAGAGGAAATTTTTATACGCGAAAAAACGTCCAAATTATAGGCAAACAAATATTTGCGAAACCCGCTAAAAACTGGATGTGATGTCATTTCTCAGCTTTGCATCGTCCACCAAACTCAGGGACTCCCGAGGGGCTGTGTGAAATTTGGGGTCAATCGGCCTCTCGGTGGCACTATTAATCGTAGGCTATATGAAATAACACTGCCATAGACATAGATTAATTTTATATCTCCAGAACCGCATGTCCCTTTAATTTCAAACTGTGGTATGTTTATTTACCATGGGCCCCCAGACCCACTGCGCGGCGCCCGAAGGGCGAGTGGCGCACCTGGCGCCGGGGGTTTGGGCCACGCTTACAACTGCTTGCAATTCTAGTTTTTATTTGTACTTTCTTCTGTATTAACAAACATAGTTTTTGTATTCCTACATCAGTTTTTCAGATACATGGCTAAAAAAAATGACCCCTATGTTTTCACTATGGAATAGGAACATTTGATATTGTTGTTAGGAACATATTTATTGCAGACCACTTCACCTACCTGCCTTGCCTGATCCTTGGTCATTTCTGTCATCTGAATAACAAAGTCAGCTGCACACTGACTACCAGAGCTAGACAGGTTTTTGTATAGATTTAGTCACAAGAGGACCAATGTTAAAAGTTCAAGAGTTTATGCAGTCTATGCATAAATATGTGGGTCTATGCAAACCATAGACTGTATTTAAAAATGCAAACCAACCACCTCCCACACACATACGCACATGACTTTTATTAGAACGAGCACATAAGGTACATTATTTTTCCTCAGCGTGGTCTCTCACCGAAGCAAGGTCTTTCCACTAGATGGTTGACACCAAAAGTTTTATGTATGTTGTGGGTCCATGTCTCCACTGCATCAGCCTAAGAGAGCACATAATGATAATCAGATATTGCTGTTGCTTCTAAGAAACTGTTAATGAGTCTCTAATATTTAGCTTGTTCTTTCTAAAACAACAACAAAAAAAACATTTGCATGCCAATATCATGCTTCTCATACAATAGTTTATCACTGAATGGCATGCTATAAAGAGGCCCACTGGATTGTTTTCTTTCAGGACATCATACTATCATTGACCCTGTTGGAGCCTTTTGTGGGATTACAAGACAAATAATGGCATCAACGAGGCAGATTCAGGGTTTTGTTTATTTTATTGTCTTAAAATTACAGAGACTCCCATAGCCACATCATTTTCCTAATCCTTATCTCATGCTTATCAAAGTAGCAAAAACAACAACAACAAAGCATTAAAATGAAATGGCTTCATCCAAACCACAAACTATAAAATACAACTGAGTTTTTGAATAAACATACATGACCTTGATACATACTCATGTATGTTTATTCCTGGTGACATGTCTCTGGGATTACTTTAAGGCACGTAGATGTTGCTTAATGCAGGTCTTTCCGACAATGAAGCTTAATGAGGAAAGAGAAGGCATAATGGCATAATAAAAGACCTTCATTTGATTTCCATTGCATTAGGTCCATTGACCGGCGTCAGCAGCCAGTCTACTCTGTAAACACTTCTTGCTGAGTAGTCTGTGGTCGTGTGTGTGGGTACATGTGTTTTTTTTCATGTTGTCTATTTGTGCAAGCCTGACTCAGAATGTAGCCCTACTACAAGCATATGGAGAGATATTTGAATAGTTCGAACAAGCTCTTTGTTTTGGATGGTTGGTAACTGCCCTGTATACATTGGATGCCTTTGACGCATGTCACATAGTTGTTGTACCAGCAATGCAACACGTGTTGCCTGGCAGTTATCAAATGAATCATCAAACTGGCAACATTAAATGTTCTGTAGCTATCCAGCACTTATAGAGAGATGGCCTTTTATGATGAGATCTTTACACAGGGAAGGTGCACGCCTTATGCTTGCAACAACGTTGTTTCCCCAAGTTGTCAGACAGGACTTTTTATGGTTCATTCGGATCATTAGTTACAGCTCTTAGTAGGACATACTTCATATGTTTCAGCTATTAACAGTATGTAGGTTCGTATAGCTAGGTTCATGGAAAGACAGTTCATTAATAGTTGGCGTGACTGGTGTGACTAGTTAATAGCGATCTCAGCAGGTGATAAACAGTACACTAGCACGTATTTAAGACTTTTAATTTTCCAGTAAGTAAAAAC